CAAATCACCACGTTCCACCAAGGAGCACCCGTATTTGATTATTCGTCTGCAAGCCAGCGTCGGAAGGGTACATCCGTAAGTTCAAGAGACTCAGAGGCGAAATTCGAGACTAATAAACGATATTAGGTGAGAAGTTTGTGTGATGATTCATTTGGGTTTCTCATGGTTTTGGGCAGCCTCTCTGGCAATCCAGCAATTATGGATCCCCGAGAGACAGTCGCCGGTGATGGTGACGTTGAGAGTCAGGCCAAGTCAGGTCATAACCGAATACAATCCTCATGAAAAGGGGCTGGGTCACAAGACAGCGGATTGCGAACGAAACAGGTCCGTCAATGAGCGGCTGATGTCTTGGGCCGATTATTTCTCAATTGAGCGCTTTGAATTGACTCGAACGGTTCACAAACTTCCTCACAAGGTGTTGATGGAACAATTGGGAAGGGCTTGAGACGTTACATGTGTCTGGCGGAAGCTGAAAATACTTCTTACTCCGCCATCCGTTGCGACGGCATGGCGATGGGGCTTCCGGTACGGGTCCTGAATCCAAGCACTCAAGTTGCAAAGAGGGCCGTATCAAAACCTTCCTTCGACCCAGCGGAAGCAGTATGCAACATGCGTGCATGCAGTATGGTGGTCGCAGTGTTCGCCCTGTCAATTTCAGTTTATTTTCCCGTCAAATAATTGGCGATGCATACTCTGTTCTGCGGCTCATTGTGCTGTCTAGGAGAACCGCGTGTTGGGCCTCGCTTGCCGACCCCAAACTTGGGTGGTTTCGGCCCCGTAGCGGACGATCATCCGGGGCTGTGGTCCGGCATTCGGCACTGGGTACGATGCGAAGAAACCCGCTCAAGCACAGCTTCACGGGAGCAGTAGTCGTCAGTTGAGAGGCCATAGTTTGACAGAAGCTTGGTTACTCCGAAACTGGTCGGTCTGATCTGCAAGGTGACTTTTCGGTCGACGGTGTAAAAGTCCGTGACATTATTTTGCGACGACAACGGTGATCGCAGAAACCAGCCATGCCAAGTGGCCGAAAGAGCCTTTATCGGTCAATTTGGGCAACTCTAAGAAAATTGGAAGACGCCTCGAGTAAGTCTGCGATTTTTCTCAGCGACTCGGTTTGGTAATGGAGTCGCCTTCTCGGTTTCGAAGTCGCTGTCATTCCGCGCCTCAGCTTCCCCCAAAATGCTTCATCTCATGTCATGCCGTCTGATTACCGCAAGGAAGCCCCGATCTCCACCACCCAACGCAGATCTTATGGTCCAATCATTGCGTTAAGCGGCCGCCTTTTGCTTCGCACGCCTGAATCTTCAAGGTCCAACCTCAAACACTGCCGTCTGAACTCGCTTTCGCCCGAAGTGCCGAAGGGTTGCGATGATCGACCTTGCGCCTCAGAGCAGTCTGAGCTCACCGATCCTTTCGGACTCGCGCAGCTCGCGTACATAAGGCGGTCGAGTCGCTGCACTCGGCATGATGTACGATTCAATTCATCCCAAAGTCTTTCATTATTGAGTTGAACTCAATTTCCGTCCAAGTTCTGTGAACTTTGTTTCTGACTCTAATACCCACTGTCTTTTTATCCTGTCGCTGTCTCAAACAACGCACTCTTTCGTCGTCCGACCTATTTACATTCTGTCGTCCGTTCTTTCACGTCAAGATGCAAACCAAGATCGCACTCGTTGTCTTCTTCAGCGCTCTCAGCGCTTCTGCCGCGACTATCAAGCGCCAGGCTACCGGCGGAGCTGACTTTGGCAAATGCACCCCCACCATGGACTTTCAAACGGGCCGTCCCGGACGCAAGGCCACCGAAGGCACTTTCTTGCCCACCGATCCTCTTGTTGCGAAGGGCCAGCAGGACGCGCTGAACCCTGGCATCATTACCAACCGAATTTGCGACCAGCTCACCAACGTTTGTGAAGCGAACCAGGCCGCTAAGGACGCGTGCCAGGCTGCCAAGGCTCAGGTTGCCTCTGCGGGCACGAAGGATGCCTCAACGGCGACCCTTTTCAACCAGGCTTTGGGATTCAACTAGGCTTGGTCGCTAATTGAAGTAAGAAGCCTCGCCGAATAGTATTTCGGGAAAAGTGGAGGACTGAGCCTGGCGCCATGACTTATGAATAATCATGCTGTTATGAAGACGACTCTGTCTCCCGGGTGGAGGATATGGGTCAAATCGGGTGGCTTTCTGGCATTTACCCTACAATGTAGAATTGAGGAAATGAGAGAAAACTTGCCCAAAACTTTGAATATTGCTTTCATCTTTCGATGTTGAGTTTGAGAGACCAAAAAGGATGCGGCACGTTCTAATGATGCATTAACTCTGTCTTCTCGAAAGCAAGGTAAGGCCTGTATTTGACAATTTGAAACCGCGCATTTCTTGTCGACTTTATCATCGTCTCTTGACTGTCCATGTAATTCTGTATCGAAATGTTCGACGCTTAGCGGCTTGAAGCATTGATATTATTCAAAGCGATTCTTTGCACGACTTCTTCAGCTTCCTGCTCTACCTACGGCCAGATATTTTGCAAACGAGGCCAAAGCTTGTGGCAACTATGCTCCAAAATCATCATCCACGACAACTCTCCTTTCAGACGACTCCCTGCCGCCAGTCAGCTGCTTGCACGTTTCCCTCAGAATAGACGAAAAGTGAGACGGACCTGATACCGTCGCTTTCCCATCGGTGGACCTCGTCGCATCTCCGCGACCCCAGTCCAACTTAACTACTCGCTGAAGGCTGGTAAACTAAGCACCCACAACCGTTGCCTCACAAGCTATCTAGGTGTCTTTTTCGAGTGGCATTTCTCCCTCCTTTTCCTTGCGACTAAACTGAAAATCCCACGTCACAAGAAACTAATAGACACCTTCGTTAGGCTTGGCTCTTTCGAAGTCCAAGACCATGTTCTATCAGGGGTCAGCAAAAACATCAGCACGTGTCAATTTCGAATTTCTCTGTCCTTACATTCGAAGAAACGACGAAAACAAAGACGCAGAAGACACATATACATCAGTGTAAAATCTCTCCGTCGATTGACTCGGAAATGTTCGAGAAGCTGGACTGGGTTAAATTTTGCTATTGAGACGGAATTACTGTCTTTATACGTCTCATACTTATGCTTATGAAGTCCACTAGCAAGACTCAGTAACGTAGTTATTGCCCACAGATCTCCATCACAATGTTCACAAAGGGTCACGAAAGTGAGAGGCTTCAATCCAGAATGCTGAGTAATTCAGAGGTTGGAGCACGTGATGGAGTTCAATCCTTGCTTATTTAAGGAGTGGTGACATGGCTTTGTCCGAACCGGAAATACCAGTTACCGTCAACGTAGTCATACCACAAGACCAAAACGACAGGCAGTATTAAGCCTTCCAACAACTTGTAACATGGCACCGAATCGAACAGAGCGTACCCCTCGGCATCGGGAAATTCCCGACACATTCATATTGGACTGGCGGAGCTCGACAGTAGGGCCCCAGGGCGGAGTACCTGCCCGACGCCTTGTCCGTCGGCCACCAACAGCATGCGAGGCTTGTCGTTCAGCCAAAGTCAAATGCAGTGGAAGTCAAGACTGTGAAAGATGTGTTACCCGTGGCTTAGCGTGCAAGTACACTTCTCGGGATAGCCAGCTGCAGCCAGCGCTTATGAAGTCCCCTTATGGGAAGGACAGCAATCAGCCGTCGACAGACAGAAGGGGCCTTCGACACACACCGACATCGCAGATTTCAATTCCAAACACACCGGAAGAACTCAATGGAGCTCTTGATTCGCAAACATCAACGAGAAGTATGATTTGTCAGCCGGTAACTACACTGACAGACTGCGCCAATGGGAAGGGCAATCTCATACAGAACTTGAACTGGGACGGCATGGATTTCAGCAGCCATGTGAGTGAACACTCGATACCGAGTGATTAGTAAACTGACTCTGAACTTCTTCGAAACCAGACTTTTGACGCCAGCCTTCCTGAATTTCCTTCCACGCAACTTTTGGCAGGCGGTTCCCTGCAAAATCTTCCGCAGAATGTGACTGAGTTACCTCTACTGGATAACTGTGATCTGCCTCCTGGGCTTCAGAGCGAATTTTCTTCCATGGCATCGGGCGATCATAGCCCTCCAGCGGCGTGTTCGCATCGGCTGGACTTACTTTCGTTTCCAGCAAAGATCGCAGCCGAAATACAACAGAAGCGACCAGACCTGGTCCTGAAAGTCACAAGAGAGGTCATTAATTCCTGTCAAGAGACTTTTGACTGCAAAGAGTGCCAAGTCACCTGTACTGATCTTCTTCTCATGATGACTGTACTTCAGGAGACGCACCCCTGTTTTGATTGCGTCGCCACCAAGGATCTGGACGGTGATGTTGAACTCAGCTTCGGAGGATACCAAATCTCGTTCAACGACGCCAGCTTGAGACGAATGGTTGTGATGGATCTGGTGCAGAGGGCTAGCACGGTATTGACTGCAATTGGTGCCAAGAGCCACTGCATGATGGATACCCTGCCTGAGCCTTGCAGGCAGGCAAGAGCGAACATAGTCTACCTGGACGAGACTATCAGTCATTTTGAAACCATACTTGAGCGAGTAAAATCCTACGTTCAGCGAAGGAGTTCAGGGCTGTGACGCGAGGATTTCTTTGGACGGGATATTCCTTGCTGAAAGGGGTTCGTGATCTTTCGGAATTTTGTTTCCTAGTGCGGAAAGATCTGCCTTGCGTGTATGCTCGCAACGCTGAGCAGCGCAGACCATGGTATATGCACCCCGGGAAACTCAACAAAACGCTTCGAGGTTCGGAAAATTCGAGCTGGATTTTCGGAGTCAAATCTCATCGCTTATCAATCTCATCTTAGAGCTGACCGGTTCTCAAGACCACTATTTCTATCCCTCTGAACCCTACTACCACTACTCCGTACGACAGAGATCCACAACAGTATCTTCAAGATTCGACATTGATGCCGAAACTGGTTTTTTTATTTAATTCTTGCTCCTCAATATCGTCCGCCATCTAGTTTACCATGGCAGACTACACAAGCTCCGAAACTACTCCGCCTCCTGACGAAACTCAGACCTCAACCGCCGAAAAGCAAGAGCACTCAGAACCCGAGACTCTACCTCGAGATATAACCGGATGGAAATGGGCAGTGACCTCGATTGCCATCCTATCTTCCATCTTCCTCTACTCCCTCGACGGCACCATCGTCGCCGTCATCCAAGCCACCATAGTCACCGAATTTGACTCCTTGAATGACCTAGCATGGATCAACGTGGGCTTCCTCATGGCTGGGACTGCGACCAACATGGTATGGGGACAGGTCTATAGCCAGTTCAACTCGAAGTGGATGTATCTCCTGAACGTCATCTTGTTCGAAGTTGGGTCAGCTATCTGCGGTGCAGCACCTAACATGAACGCCATGATCATCGGAAGAGTCATCTGCGGCATCGGCGGAGCAGGGCTGTATGTTGGTGTTCTGAACCTTATCGCCGCTACTACGACAATGGCAGAAAGACCACTTTACGTTTCTGGCACCGGTATAACGTGGGGCTTAGGTACCGTCCTAGGTCCTGTGGTTGGGGGTGCCTTTGAGCAGTCGGCAGTCGGCTGGAGATGGGCGTTCTACATCAATCTGTTCATAGGGGCTGTTTGCGCTCCGGCATACATCTTCCTCCTTCCCAGCGTCGACCCTCGTCCGGGTGTGTCACTTGGAGAACGTGCGTCACAGCTAGACTATGCAGGCATGGTATTGCTGATTGGGAGTCTGGTGAGCTTCGTCATGGCTATCAACTTTGGCGGCCTCACCTACCCGTGGAATTCAGGCCAGATCATAGCCCTATTCGTCGTCGCTGCTGTGCTGGTCTCTCTGTTGGGTGTCCAGCAGAGATGGGCTGTTTTCACCACCTTAGCCCGTCGCCTGATACCGATCCAACTTCTCGGCTCTCGAACCGTTCTCATGCTCTTCGCGTCAACCAGTGCTTCCGCGGCTGGGGCCTTCATCCCGATCTTTTTCGTTCCGCTATTCTTCCAATTCACTCGAGACGACGGCGCGCTCGATGCAGGAATCAGACTGCTACCCCTGATCATCGTCTTGGTTGTCGCGATCTTTGTGAACGGCCTTTTGATGGCCAAGTTCGGCTACTATATGCCGTGGTATATCGTTGGTAGTTTGATTAGCGTCGTCGGGGGTGCTTTGATGTATACGGTCGACCGTAGCAGCAGCCAGAGCGCCATATACGGGTACACCGTCCTCATCGGGTTCGGCATATGCATCTTCATTCAAGCGTCATTCTCCGTGGCGCAAGCCGTCGTTGACCCAAAGAACGTTGCGGCTGTTATTGGCTTCGTGACACTGGCCCAATATCTCGGCAATACCACCGCGCTTGCCATTGCCAACTCTCTGTTTTTGAACTTGGCCGAGACGAAAGTTCAGAAGATCCTTCCTGAGATGTCTGCGTCAGAAATTGAGGCGGCTATCTCTGGGGTCGCCGGGGGCTTTGTGCAAAGGCTTGACGATGGTGTTAAGGGGAGGGTTATCGACGCCATTGTCGACTCTATCAGCAAGACCTACATATTGGTTATGACTGCCGGAGCACTTGTTGCGCTGCTCAGCCTTTTCATGAAGCGGGAGAAGCTGTTTATCAATGCTTCTGTTGCCGCAGTCTAAGCCTGGTAAGTCGTGAACCAAGACTTAAAGGAATATAGAGAGGAGTAGGACACAGACACATGGGCCGAAGGCTGTTCAGATGGATCATGTAATACGTTGTATGTAGCAGTAAAAGTCAATGAAAGAGAGTTGAGAGGAATTCTGACAAGATAAAGTAGTAACAAAAATCATCGTTCGACACAGTCCTTACAGACAGCCGCCTTCTACAAGATGGGGACATCCAGCTCACAAAACGCATCCTCCTTGGGCAACGTCCCATTCACGTAGTAATCGGCCGTAGCCAGCGCCGCACACCTCGATACCCCAAAAGAGCCGTGCTACCGAAACTGTCAGTACCTGCCTCACAACTCGCCCAGGAAGAACTTACCCCATATCCATCAACATGCAACACCCTGCTCCCTTCAAAGGCATCGCTCATGTTCTTGGCCGAAACAAGTGGCGCAAACGCGTCAGCCGTGTTCCCGATGAACATTAGCGGGTGCCTCGTCTTCACGGCAAAATCCCCAGCATATCGCTCCTTCGCGTTCAGCCTCCACTGAGCGCAAATCATCTCCAAGATGATCTGGATATCGCCAAAGATCTTGCTGCTGCGTACCTGTCTGTCCATTATGGGAAGAAACTCGTCAAGCGTGTCTACCCGTGCAATCTTATCGCCACATCTGATTTGTAGCTGCGCATCGGAACTTGTGCCGATGTTGTCATATGACGACGATAACTTAGCAGACATCTCTGTGAAGAGAGTGTAGTTTCCGGACATCAGTGCGTCCAGACCCCGTGTGAGAAGGGGCCAATAGGCCGGGTTATACAAAGCAGACATGATGCCCGCCTTGACGACATTGTAGTCGATCCAAGTGCCGTTGAAAGGAATGGGGCGGGAGTTGAGGTTGTTCATGAGGGCATAAGTTGCATCTTCGAGCTCTTGGGCGGTCTGATTTCGGTGGGCTAAGGGGCAAGTGGACGGACTTGCGACGCATGATTGGAAGACGGCGCTGAAGGCTTCGTCGGCACTCGCCCATTGCTCGTCGTCCCTGCTTGCGTGAGTGAACGGGGTACTTTCTGAGAGAGGCGAAAGATACATACCAAGCGTTGTAGTATTCATGACCGTTAAGATTTCCGTCTAGGACCATCCTGTCAATTCTGTCGGGGAACATGGCAGCCGCCGTCTGGCCTAAGATAGTCCCGTAAGAGTAACCTATGACGTGTATTTTAGCAATTGATGTGATGCTCAGCGGGATTGAAACCATACCCCAATATCTCAACAGGCCATCTTCACCCAGAGCATCCACAATCTGCATCATGTCCCTGGCCACAAACGCAGTGCCATACAGGCCGCCAATCTCCTGGTTCTTCTCATAGCACTTGTCGACAAGGAGCTTCGTGGAGGCCCAGAGCCTACCTGGAGTCACGTCTGAGGAGTTGGACGAGAAGTTCGGGGAAGTCATGAGGGCCCATGCTTTAGGGTTGCGGAGGATGTAGGCGTTTAACTCATCTTGGTCCTCGAAACAGCTGAATGGGATCGTGTTTCCAGTTCCACTAGTGGAAAGTTAGTAAGATATGCCAATGTCAGCCGTTCTGTCAAGCAAAGCTTACCGTGGGTCAAACGTGACGAGGTCATGATACTCGCTGGTAGCACTAGCAACGTGGGATTAGCAGCAGCGTTTTCATCAAAGTGTCTCCAAAGTTACTTACTTCCTGAGAGCCCCTCCAAGTCCAGCCATGGTAGGTCGTCCAGCTACACCAGGACCGCCAAAGTTGAACAAGATGCTACCCTTTGAGGGCTGCCGAGTGGCAGGAATGCGGAGAAGTTGTAAATCCAGTGTCTTACTTGAGTTGGGCGAGGTGTAGTCGAGAGGCATCGTCAAGTTTGCGCACTGGATGGGTTCGGTGCTGTTGAGCTCGGCACAGTCACTCCATTCGATTTCCTTCTGGCCGCTGGATGCTGCATCCGCGCGAGCTCCATGCAGCAGCAGAAGCGCTGTTGAAAAACTTTGAATCTTCATCGCGGGACAAAGGCAAGTGGTGTATTGATTGGTAGTTCCAGTCTGAGGTTCTGCGGTATTCTGTTTTCGAAAATCGATATCTAAACTTGCTGTCGAAGCTACCCAGGACCCGAGACTTTATACCCATCAAAGATGCACCACGAGCCTGAGGTACCATTCATTTGCGTCGACAACATGCCTTGTTTACAGGCTCATTCTTCCTGGAAACGCCGCCGGACATCATAAGAATCCCGTCAGCTCCGCCTGAAGAAATGACGACGTGCCTAGCAATGGCATCTTCTCAACTGCCTCTAATGGAAAAAGCAGAGCGGGCTGTGCATCTGTCAAATGTACGATACACCCGATTACCGATTTGGGGAAAGAAGTGAGGCGTCAGGCGGGCTGTTGGTTTGGCCAGCACAGCGACTGACTGCCTCTAGCTCCGGAATAGATGAGCATATTGCTTATATGCTTGCTTTTCGTCAATAATTGTTGCCCGAGTATACGAAGGATTCACGTCCACGCAGAATACCAGCACACCTCGTCAACCCTTTATTGAAACCCCACGAGTCGTAAATTGCGATATTGTTCATTCATTTATTCATCAATTCCATCTTCAGGTAGCACGGTTGGATTCAATTCGAGGCTCTCATGTGTTCCCAGTACGTCTGCACTCTCGAACCCAAGTCTGAATACCGGACATCTACGGCCGAAACGGTAGCGCACAACAGTAGTCAGACCAGTGAACCACCCTTCCTCCTCTCGCCATCTCGTACACCACCTTTTCTCACAATCACGATCACGATCCAAAACCACTCGGCAACCGCCGCCCACCTTATCCGCATTCAAAACCGTCAATCTCGGCATTGCATCGGCATCATCCACCCACCACCGTCCAGGCCGCCGTCGAGTGTGCACCATCCGATGCCGGACAAAGGGCTCCATTCGTAGGGAGGACCCGGCAACGACTCCAAGCCAGCTCCACCTCCACGTCCCGGCAGAACCCGCCGGTCGGGCGAACGCGCTAACGCATGCATGCAGTTGGCAGCAGCAGCAGCGGCAAGCGCATGCAACGCTTCCCTTCCCTTCCCTCTCCTCTTCTCCAGACCCGTCGGCAACCGTGGTAGGTGGTAGTTGCAGCAGGAATCAGGGAGAAAGCGGGAAAGGCGTGGTGCAGTCACAGAAAGCGAGCCAGCCGGCCAGACAGCTGCAGCCCTAACGAGAGTTTGGTTTCCAATCAGACAGCGTGGAATGTCAGGATCGATGGTAACCTTCAACGGAGCCCGATCTGTTGGATTTCTGCTCGGCAGAAGGGGCGTGGGTGACTCAACTGTTGGGCAGGGCCGGACTAGCGAATTAGTAGACGGGTAGATGCGTGGGAGGGAATGTCGGTCTGTTAGATTGTCTTGATGTGTCTTGATTTGACTTGAAGATTTGCGATGCGCTTCAAGACATGTCTTTGGGCGGCGGTGTGTGCTGTGCTGTGCTGTCCTGCTGCGAGTTGTGTTGGCCCTGCATCGCGGTCCAATATCAAAAAACAGAGACCCAAATTTTATCCAAGTTTGCATAATCACGTCAACGATAAGGTGCTCAAGAGTTACTTTAACTTCTTTGTATTCAATCTCGGAGGCCCATGTCGCCTGTGGAGAGCGCGATTCTCACCGCTACTCGAAACAGACGCTGAGCTCCACTGATACATGCGTTGCCTCGCAACAATCTCATCCTGCTAACCTGTAGCCACGCTGTTCCAGAATCGGAACGAGTCGTGCGAAAAACCTCCACTGCTAAATTTCAACCCCGAGTTGTTCGATATGGCGAATGCCACTCGATGCAAAACAAGCCAAACTCACTCGACGTAATAGCCGGGAGAAGATGCCTGTGCTGGTGATGTTGGTGCTAGTGATGTGATGACCCATAAACCCTCTAGATGCGAGAATCATGAACGCTATCGCAAGCCGTTGCGATGGATGCAATAACAATTAAACGAAAGGTGCTGCCGGAGGTATGATGCATATTCCTCGGATTGGCGCCGGTGGTCCCCATGCTGGTCCATGTTCCTCTTTATGACATAGCCGTTCTAGTGAATCCGACCGAGAGATGCAACGCTGACAAAAAACAAACGCCGGTGTACCCAATGCCACACAGGTGAAGACGGGTATTGGTTAAGGGAAGAGAAGTCGATCCACGGTTTGCGGAATGGTGCAGGTGTGGTGAAATGTCGACGTGAAAAGGGTATGTTGAGTAATTCGAGCGCTCGCGAGGGGTATCGTGGTTGAGGCTGTCTATACCGAAGGAGATGGTAATCGGGGAAGGTGCGCTCAGTGCTTCTTGTCGGAGGAGCCGGTGTGCTGGGCCGACTGGTGGTGATGGTGGTGGTGCTTGTGAGAGGAGTGGTGCTTGCGGACCTTGGGAATGTTAGCCACGTGCTGCTTCGGTTGAGACTGAGACTGAGGCTGCTCATGACGTACCCTCTGGCGACCGCGGTGCTCCTCCTCGTCTGACGAGGTGTTGCTCAAGCGTCTTCTCTCCTCCTCGTACCAAGTGCTCAGCGACTTGCCGCCGAACATGAGGTCATCGTCCTCGATGATGGTGGCTTGGATCCAGCTCTGGGAGGCGAGGTCGACTTCCCTAGCGTTGGGGTCCATGGTGCTGACGTTGGGAATAACGTAGTAGTACTGATCTTGTGCCGGTGACATTTTGAGAGTGGAGTTGTGTGTATGTTGTGCGGCTCTGGGTGGAATCGAAGCGGGCGGGTAGGTATGTAAGATGGGATGGAATGGCGGCCCCTTTATGCTTGTTTGTGTACAGGTTGGTGCAGAGAGCAGCGCGTAATGCGTTGATTTCGCGTATATGAGTTGGTTGATTGAAGTGTTTGGGAACAACCGGGATGATGGCGGCGCGAGTTATTTAAGCGTCTATAGCAGGGACCCTTGAGAATAGAATCAGGGTGTGTGGGCTGGCTGTCTGGACTGGCAGGGAAGTCTGGACCGCTGGAATTCGGGATGACGGCGGGAGGGAGAGGGGTCTAGACGAAAGCGACAAAGAAGAGAAGGCTTCGGATATCGAAGGGTCCAGGAGAAGCACAGGAGAAGAAGCGATTTCTTTGTTCTCGTTTCTTCAAGATCGGTTGCCGATGGACAGGGCGAGGCGAGACAGCGCTAGGCGGAGAGAAGGCTGGATCGTGGATCACGGAAGAGGCAGCGGGAGATGTGTATGAGCGACGACGATGGAGGCCGAGAATGGGCAGTGCCGGCACTATTATCGAGGTTGGTGATGGGTGGTGGAAAGGTGTCGACACTCTGATTTTGGAGGAGAGAAGTGGACGAGAGAACGGGAAGAGGCCGTCGTGACGGAACGGAAGCGGACGGCGGCTGGGTTAATATGGACGGGCAGGAGAGAGGGATTGTGGGATTTCCCTTCCCAGGTTGTGGAAGGTGTGGACGGTGGATGCAGGGTACTTGACAAGGCAGGCGACACCCTCAGGCGGCAGGCACAAGGCAGAAAAGGACCTCCCTCAGGCCTCACTGCTCAGGGCCTGCACCTTCCCCGTATTATTTTCAAGGTCGCACACACAGAAAGCGCAGGACCGAGGAAGTACCCAAGTACCTCCGTACCTCCCTCACTCGCGTGGCGGGAAGGTGTGAGTGTGCGAGTGTCGGGTGGGAAAGTGGAAAGTGCGCCAGGAGGGAAGGAGCGAGGGGACGGACGGAGGGGGGGAGCAGCAGGGGGGGAAGGGGCAGGGGAGCAGGGGGAAGGAGGTACAGGGGGTACGATTAAGGGTGGGAAGGAGCAAGGGGGTGTCGGTCTGTGCAAATTCAAAATGGTGAAGGTGGAGCCCGCCAGTTTTCGGCCACCTTACGGATACCTCAAACCGTCTTGAGCCACAAAACGGGGCGACGGAAACGGAGACGGAACCAGTCCAGTGCAGTGCAGTGCAGTGAGGCGTGCACTACGTTTGGTGCTTCCACAGCGGCATCTCTACTGACTGCCGTAATGGTGACAGCTACCACTTTGCACCAATAGAACATCTTCAACGCAAGGCAAACACCACACGGAATCACACACTGCGTACCTATATACACATACCAGCCCGACGCAAAGGGACTGTGCAGGCTGACTATCAGACAATATCTCAATCTCGATGACTGGATGACTACAACCACTTGCCGACCACGGTCTGCTGTGCTCTCAGCTGTCTCAGAACACCGTCAGAACACGTCGTGAGAGGTCCTGTCAGAATGGCGGAGACAGGGGTCCAAGAGGCTGACTACGGTGCGTGAGATGCGCACCTGGCACTGCAGAATTGCCCGTATTGGCGGATATTGCCTCGATATCGGTGCTGCTGCTGCTGATGCTGATGCTGATGCTGCCTGTCGACCTGTCGCACCTCAGCCAAAGAAGAGTCATCGACAATCTGTCAGGCTGGCTGGCTGGCTGGCCTCCAGATGCGGGGGTTTCCGGAACGGGATAGGTACCTGAGCGGTACACCCGTCTTCAGTCGTCGTGATGATGGCCTCCGCCGGCGTAAGGCTTCGGTCAAGGCCTGACGCGATGATGTGGCTGTGGCTCGCCCAACCGCCTTGCCGGATGGGAGGACCATCGAAAAACAGACTGCCGACGTGGACGACAGGAAGCGGGAAGACGAAGCGAACCGGCCGAGCCTAACTGAATTACAGATTGCAGACCACGCGGATTGATCCTGCCGTAAGGCTCGCCCGCCAGTCTGGACTCCGGGGCTGAGGCCTGGATCGTGGCCGGCACCGAAGCGGTTGAGGGGTATTTACTGCCGCGATTCTTTTCGGCGGCTGGCTGTCCGGCAGCTGAATGAGCGATATTTCAGATCCCATCTGTCAGAGTGGTATCAGCATAGGGATGGCTAGATGCAGGGGAGCAATAATTGACACTGGCTGTGTAAGACGAGAGCGATATATCGGCGTACACAGCAGAGCACACCCAGCACATGGAACGCGGTCTCAATAATAATAACAATAATAAACAGCCATTGGATGAAACCGAAGAAT